AGTAATGTATGTAAGATTGATCAAGAAACAAAAAGTTGCATCTGCTCAACCACAACAAAGGGAAGTTTAATATGAAATGGGGGAGGGAGGGGTTTAATTAATTTAATTATTTTTTTTTCTTTTTCCTTTTTATTTTTCACAAGCATTCAGACTGCTCAATAGATACTCTGTACGTTTCACTGGGGCTAGTTCTCAACTGCAGGGGCCATTCTGGTGCCTTGGCTCTGACCTTTAACTGGGCAGGGTCTAGAGTGAGGAGAGGACGGATGTTGTTATGATCAAAGGTTGTGGGTTGCAGCTGTGGCCCTGCTGCCATTCCAGGCAAAGCAGCCTCTCGGAAATGCATGTCTTTTTTAATACGTCTCTTCTTTATGATAGTACACAGCACACTGATCACCACTACAAGGACAGTGATGAAAAAAACAGTGATTCCTACAATAATCTCGGTGTAGCTGTACAAGGAGTCCAAACCTGTGGACAAAGAAGACTCTTTTGTTCAACTCAATCATTCAAAGCCCTCCCCATCTTTAAAATGGCTGTCCTATGCAAAGATGTTGGTCAACAGGTTAGAGTGCAAGCTAGGGATTCTAGAAGACCAAGCCTTCATATCTTCTCTACTTCTCTCTCACTTCTTTCAGGCTGAGGCTAAGCATCTTTGAGTGATGTCAGACAAAGTATTTTCGGGGTTAAGCCAGCTAGCATCAGTTTGGGTGCATCTTTGCTACATTCCCTACAGCCGCCCAACAGTGTAAGTTCTAAAGAACATGCAGCTTTTTGTGATGCAATTCACAGCTGGAACATTTTCACAGCTTGGCTGTCTGCCACTTGTTAGTAAACCTCCCCCTATACTATTTGGAGCAATTTTGCAACTGTAATTAAAATGTTTTGATTTGTTATTCAGGAAGAGAATCTATAAAAGGCCTCAATAACATCTGGTACTCTAAACAAAAGGAAAGCCAACCTGAAACAGGAATGGAAAGTTAGACTGACAGCTGAATTAGCATGCACATATATAATGCTGGTGCGTGTGTGCCAAATTTTAAAACTGTTATACTACGGCAAAGAAGGAGCATTTTAAATAGCATATCCAGCTTCACCGTTATATTCTCAGATGATATGAGCAGAAGTGTAACTACATCAAAGCCTCTCCAGAGCTTCATTGGAAATATAATGGCTTAATCTTACTCCAGCAGCCTTGGAAGTTGCCACAGGAAGTTGCCAAGTTGAACTGCCAATGCAGATTGCATAGCAATGTTGTCAGGAAAAACTCTTTCTAATTCACCTGCTGTTCAACTCTCCCATAAACTGTGCTTTTTCTCAGGAAAACTGGCTGTGGTCCCACAAACTCTTGCGCTGAGATGGGGATTTCAAATCCAAAGAGGCATCCATGGCAAGCCGGTGGTGCAGCTCATGGCTTGTCTCTAGCTTGTGAAGCCCACGATAGCAAAGATCTAATGTCGGTGACTATGGTAGAAATGTTTTGTATAAAAGGACTAAATCACAGGGTAAATCCCCTCTCTGTATGGTCCTATCATGTGAAGCATCACCAGACAGAAACATCTTTCAGTCTAAGTGTTTCCTTGGGGTGGGCAGCCACATGGAGACAGGGAAGAAGGAACTGATGGCATCACCTTAGTCTCCTGCTGATGGCCTCACATTCACTAAGAACTTTTTGCAACTATGTTATGTTATGTTATATGTTATTTTTGTGCCTTTGAGTCAGTGTTGACTCCTGGCGACTGCCTGGACAAGTCCCTGCAGTTTTCTTGGCAAGGTTTCAGAAGGGGTTTGCCCTTGCCTGCTTCTTCCTCGGGCTGAGAGAGAGGGACTGGGCCAAGGTCACGCAGCTGGCTTCATGCCCAAGACAGGACTAGAACTCACAGTCTCCTGGTTTCTAGCCTGGTGCCTTAACCGCTGCACCAAACTGGCTTTTCTTTTCCTTTTCCTTTTCCTCTTTTATCATTTTCTTTTCTTTATTTTATTTTATCTTACTGGAGTCTTATTGTGAAGCAGCATACTAAAGGCAATTCCCTTATGGCTTAGCACATAAATAGCATATCATCACAGAGCATTTGGGAGAACCTTTAGGCCAAGAAGAGGTGAGGATAGAATGCCATAAGGACATACCTGACCGTGGATTACGAACACACAGAGTACCCGATTTTGTCAGAGAATGGTCCTCGTACTCTTCTTTACACTGACAGAAGTATGTTCCATATCCATTGAGACAAAGTGCCTCATTGCCACATAAACCAATTCCAGAGCTGCATTCATTCACATCTGTCATGCATGGACAAAACAGTTTTCCATTAGTATGCAATTAAGCTTCCAAAGACAGGAGTTGCTACTTTTATTTGATATTCCCTAATTAACAAAATAATTGCTCACCTACCTCTCACCAAAACAGTTTGGACCTTGCCAGCTCCTATAAATACACCACTAAGATCTTCCAGTTGAAAATGGAGTAAGTGAGTTATGTTCTTTTCTTCTGATGTTAGATGCAGCCAGAACATGAATACAATGTTTGGGCCGGTTTGTCTACATATAAACATGGAAGCATCTTAATGTTTTTTATTTAACCAAAGAGTTAGATACTGCTCAATGAAATCTTGGAGCAGTATCCACCAGCAAAGTTGAAAAGTGTAGTTCAGTCAGACCTGAAAGGCAAAACTTGCTCACTACTACTTTAAGGGTCATCCATATTTGTCATCAAGTTATATAAGCAAGAAATAAAGAGCAGGTTTCAATTTTATTCCAGATAGGAGGGGAGGAATCAACAAAAGATCTAAAGGAATATTGTTGCTAGTTTCTCCCCACCCCTTAGAAATGCAACTGACAGAAAATAACACTTGATTTCAAAGTATATGAAGGAAATGTTTGCTAACTTCATAGGACAATCTATATTCAGTTGTCATACCTGCCCATTTCAGTTTCTTCTTTTCTCATAATTTCCTTTAACTTGAATTCTTTGATTTTGTTTGAGAAGAGTTTCACTTTCTCTTGTACCTGGAAAAAAAATCCAAAGAGTTGAATTCTTTTTAAACATACTGTCCTGGAACACCATCTTCTAAGAGACATCAGTACCTTTTTATGTAGTCAGCAGGATACAAATTGAAGCTTACAAAATGTCCTTAATTATTCTAAATGTTATCTTTGCATTCCATTATTTTATTAGATATCAAACTTGAACATCCAGCTCACCAGCTGAATTTGGTTATCAACATCCTCTTGATTTGCCTAAGGCCAAATGCTTTCCTCCTCACCTTCAAATGAAGCAAGAATCTTAACATGGCTGAATCTACTCATTGAACGAATAGTCCTGTATATATCTACTTTCTCAAGCTGCTTTAAGATAAGTTCTGTACCATGAATTTTCTTACCTGATGCTTAATGGAATCTATGAAGGTTTTTTCCAGAGTGCTTCCAACAGGTGGGAGTTGTCCTTTGTGCTCTATTCCAAAAACTATTTCAAATAAAAGATCTGTAGAAGAACCCGAAGTAACCTGTGTTACTGCCAAAACACAGTAAGACACACAATATGTGCATGATGTACACCTTGCTCCTTTGAGGAGCTTATAAGAAAATGGCCTAGTACAGCTTTTCTACAAGTAGGTAGGGATGTTCTGGCCATATACAGCACGTGTGCTGTAGGAGATGGCACGCTAGGAGACTCATGTAATGTTGCCTATGGATGCTCCCATATTTAAGAGGGAAGACTTTTCTACCTGTTAATTTGATGGCATAGCTGACAGGAAAGCTGACCCCATGAGGGACAGGCTATCTATCCATCTAGACCTACTTTGAAGTAACAAATGTCATGCAACAGAAATAACAACAGTCATGCAAAGGACAGAATCTCCTATCCAAAAAAACTTACTTAAGGGGATGAGTAACATTTGTTAATAACAATCAGTCACCAATCCATTTAAGAGTCATTGTATAAAGGAGAAAGCAAAGTTTAAGAAATCATAGTGAGGAGAGAGAGAAGAGAGAGAAGCTCCTCACCTCCCGGATTGTGCTGAGAGTCCAATACAGAATAATGTTCATGAGATCTGAATACAGGATCCCTCTCTATGGAAGAAGAACAATGGCAAGATATCAGTCTAGCATCTCAACAGGACTATTCTTTTCCAGCTTCTTAAACACAGTAATTGGCCACTCAAAAATATACTCAATTCCATCAACATCTCAATGAGCAAGAACCACATGGTAAATTTATTAATTTATATCCCAACTTTTTTCCAGGAACTCAAAATCGCATACATAATAGTTCCTCCTTATATTTCCCCCATACCAACTACTCTGTGAAATAAGATAGGCTGACTTGGCAACTAGCCAAAATCTCTAATTAAGACTCCATGGATGATGAAAGACTTGAACCGGACTGATGTTACCTCAACCCAAACAATGGATGATCCCTCCCAGCAGCTTCATGATAAGATGAATGGGATACTTGGTCTTCCCATCATTCACAGAGGTAACTAATGCAGATTCAAGTCCATACCCAGGTTTGAAACCTGACTACAGCTTTAATTATGGCTTTTTCCAGTAGTCACCCATTGCTTTAATATTCTCCAGAAAGGGGGACTTGGAGATAAAAAAAATAGTTGTCCGGTATTAAAGCATCTAGGATCCAGGCCTCTTAAGAGAGTGCAGACCAATACTTCAAGGCTGTTGATATCTCCCTTTTGTAATGTACACAATAACAATAGTTGGAATTAACAAAGCAACTGCTAGTAAATGCTTAGTGAACACTGAATATAGGAAGCACTTTTAATATATATTTAACAGTTTTCCTGATGATTCCTGATGATTTCCTGATGATTTTAAAATATACTTTTCCAAAATGTGCATCACATTTATTGTGATCAAAAGGATTCCAACTTCATTGTAATTAAGTGACATTTCCTTAAATAAACGATGATACACAAAATTGTTCTTGGATTAGTTCTGTACCTGTCTTCCCACATAATTCAGTTGCACAAGGCTTTAGCAGATCCAGCATGGGGATAAACAGTTAAAAGAACAGGACTTACCATAGGACTTATTTTTTACTTTCAAGAGAGTACTACTGGTTGGCAACCAACCGGAAGGGGAATAGGAAGGATTTGGTTTGGTCTGCTTCTTTTGCAGATGCTCTCTATCCTTGGTTATTGACTTCTTGTATTGTATAGTAAAAGCTGTGTTTATCTGAGTTTTCCTCAGGTAATTTGAAGACATAACTTGGGGATTCACAGTTGTGGAAGTACCCATCAAATTATCAGTAAATGACCTCAGAAAAGGAGCATGGTGCACATCAATAGAGGCTAAAGTGGGGGTCTGATGGAATTTGGTTTTCATAGTAGACTTGGGAGGACTTGCCATAATCCCTTCAGATTCAGTTATTTGCACAGCAGTGTTGCCATTCTCTGCTCTATAGATTTGATTGTCCATCTGCTCTCCTTTATATATTTTTGTCTGTTCCAAGTGCTGTGGAGATTCCATTAGATCTACATTTTTCTTAGAGACCCCAGAATTAGAGGGCAGCAGTTGAAGCATTTGTTCCTGCATCTTTGGTGGGATACTTTTAGGAGATTGGATTGGAGTTCTGTGTTCTTCCAAGGAGACTTGAGGAAAGGTGATGGCACTCTTAATTTCCCCTCCAGTACTTCTCATGTGTGTTGTCATCCAATGTGTGGTTGCATGGCTATTATTTTGATGGTTGACAGATTCAGGGATAGCTCCATGATTTTTTGCTACTTCCAATTTTGTCATCATTTGCAGATTCCGGGTCGTGTGAGGAGAGGTTGAAAAGACCTCCGGCTTGTATGTAAAAGTTTCTTCCCTATTCTCCAAATCATTTGATTCTAATACTAATGTAGGACTTTCATCCAAAGTTCTACTATTATCAATACAAGGTTTTGTAACTTGCATCGTCTTCATATCAGATGGATTCAAGCTAACGTTTTTTGTTGATTTCAAGAGAGAAGCATGCATATGCTTGCCAACAGCTGGCTTTAAAAATGTTCCTAACCCTGTTTTAGTAGTCTTTTTATTTGTCACCGGCAGCCAATTCTCTTTGCTGAGCATTTGGCTAGTCTCTACAGAGTTCAAACTATGTCCTGAATGCAATACATATGACTTAGGGGAAAATTCAACCCTGCTGTTAGTTTTCAAAACTGATTTTTCATCACTTGTAGAATTTACATAATCATCAAATATATAATACCGTCCTTTAAAATGCATATGACTTTGGTTCTGAGAAGAAGCTTCTGACAAAAACACTACATAGACTGCTACTGCCTGTGTAGCATAAATCAGAGTACCATGGTTTCTACATGCATAAGCTACTTTGTTTTCAATACTTGACAAAATCCCTTGGAATATGATCCTATCCTGATTTTCTTCACAGTTTGACTTTCCTTCAAATCCTTCTATATAAATCAGAATATGCTTGTGAGGACCAGCCCATATGGTCCAGTTGCACCAGTTATTGGTTTCAGTCTTGGTTAGTGATGGAGGATAAAAAGTTCCAGCTTCATCTTTCAGAATAACATGGCAACTTTTTACAGGAAGATACACCAATAGCCAAGGAAATCCCAAATCTGTAGGTAGGAAAAATAAAGACATGACATTACCATCATTTTATCGATCAAATCTGGTTTACACTGGTAGAAGATACATTATTCTTGTTGGAACATTTCACGTTAGGAGTAGCAACCTTGACAACAGTTATTGAGTTTGTCTTATTTCATTTTGCAGGTGTTATTTCCCCATGGCTGGAATGTTAGAATTAGTGAAATAAAGTCATATTGTTATTACTACTTAGATTAAATGCTCTGGCTTTCCTCCAGGAGCCTAAAGTAATGGTACATACCACCCCTTCCTTCAATTAACTAGGAGTTCCCTTGGGAAAAACAAGACAAACGTTAGGTGAAACCATGAAATTTAAGACATGTCACAATCTTTAAACTAACTGTGAGAAATGTGTATGTTATCTGGAAAACAATGATCTGACAGCCAGTTTTAGGTAGGGTATGTGTGTACCCGTGCAGTTTTTAAGAGGACATAAACTGGTAGGGAAAGGGCTAGACCAGCATTTCTCAACCTTGGCAACTTTAAGATGGGTAGACTTCAACTCTCAGAATTCTGGGAGTTGAAGTCCACAGGTCTTAAAGTTGCCAAGGTTGAGAAACACTGGGCTAGACTAACAATCTACAAGCAACCTATCATTGCTACCATTTTCTCCATCTATTGGCCTGTAACCTTTGGGCTCTTCTCATAATTTTTGGGCTATTCTACTCATTTTCTAACTATAGCTATAAATAGCTGGAATCCATCTATTGTCCAACTTTGCCAGTGACATTTTGGAAAGAATAATGGTAAAACAAATTAACATTTGAAAGCAATCTTTTAAACTCAAGAGGTAAATGTTTCAGACTTGATATGCATCTTGGCTTGGCTGATCTTCATTTGTAAAAACTCATTAAATGTGCGGAATACTGTTTTCCAGAGAATAGGTTAATATTATTGCATGCCACCCACTTAATGATGTGTAATAATTTGAAAACCATTACCTTCCAGGGAACCTTGTTTCTTTTGAAAATTTATTAGTTTACTAATGAAACAGAAAGCTTACTTACTGTTGCTGATCTCAGTCTACAATGCTTAGACCCAGCAAAATGTCAAATGGACTTTAGAGATCCTACTGATTTCATAAAGGATAGTGGTGAGATCCAGTATTGCCCTCACTCTTAAACTGAACGTGAGCTTCAATCACATGAAGTGGATATTTGGTAGACTCTGGTATAGGAAGTTTTTGCCCATGGAAAAAAGCTGATAACCCTTGTATCTTAAACTGCAGACACCAAGGTAGCAATGCAGTTAGATACCAGGCACAACATAACAGGACACCGATAATCAAAATGTAGGAAACATTAAAAGAAATAATCATCAGAAGGTATAAATACAGATAAACATTAATAGAATATTCAGTTACTGGAAACTGATCTGAAGAATATTTCAGTCAAAGGAGAGTTGCAAAGGAGAATTTGGAGGAGAAAGTTCATTTTCAGTCTAGTCTGTTCCAACACCACAGCAATGCTATATGTATTTAGTCAGGAGTAAGTTCCGACTGGGTTCAATGGGGCTTAATCCCTTGGTTACTAAGGGGAGGTTCCCAGGCTGAGCTACATCTCTTGCACCATTTCTATCATTAACCTCAACTCACTCATATCCTGGAAGTGTATTTGAACTGAATTATCTTTGGGAATCGGTGTACCAATTCCTGAAGCCAATACTTCTGCAATCCTCTGTCTTGCCATCTAGCAAGTGAATGGGCCACTACTGGTTTTATCAAGACCATTAATAATTATCAAGAGTTAGGGATAATAAGGAGGGATTTGCCCTCAATTCAATCCTACTTTTATCTTTTTAAATGGCATCACCTGAATCACCTAGGTGCTACAGCACTGAAATGATTCCACAATACTGAAATGGCTTCAAATTCTGCCTGGAGTTTCTACTTTTAAAGCAATACTTTTTTAAAAAAAACCTGTTCAATCGTGTCCGATTCTTGGAGA